ATGTGGTGCTGGGGGATCGAACCGCCGTCCCTGTGCTTTGCTAAGCTTGTTCTAAGTAGGTGCTTTAGACCACTGAGCCATCTCACCAGCCCCAGCTTTGAAATTCTGACAATTCTCCTGGCTCAGCCTCCCAAGTGCTGGAATTGCAGGTGTGAGCCACCATGCCTGGCTAAATTATTTTTAAATTATTACTATTTTTTTTTTTTTTTGCAATTTTTCTTTTCTGTTAATCCCTGTTGTAGTACATGATGATCACATTCCTGGTGGAGGCTGACAGGTGAACATAATGGATCTTCATTCCATTTTCATCCCGTGCCCTCCCCTCAATTATATGGGGGGAGGGGAGATGACATCCTGGGCCCACGCCTGTTATCCCAGCATTCTGAAGACTGAGGCAGGAGGACCCCCACGATTTCTTTTTTTAAATGTATTTAGTATAGGGTCTGCAGGGTCTAACTAGGTAGATCAAACTTATAGTGATTCTCCTGTTTTCAGCTTCGCAAGCCCTGGGATTACAGGTGTGCGTCACCACACCCAGTCTCAATCTCCATCTCAGGCGCCCCCCGGGGCAGGGCTGGCACAACACACTGGTGATAGAACCCCGGCCACTGCGCTTTGCCCAAGCAGGCACTTTAGTCTGCAGAGCTATCTGGCTGGTCCTGGTCCCCATGAATTCGAGACTGGTTTGACCTACATAGTGAACCCCTGTTTCAAATAAATGAATAAATAAATAAATAAATAAATAAAAAGAAGGGCGAGCCATGCCTGTCCGGTCCCCAGGGCACGCTGACATGACTGAGCATGGTCATGCACGACTGTAATCCCAGAGCTTGGGAGGCTAGAAACAGGAGGATCACTACCAGTCCAATCTGTGTAGGGAGACCTTATAGACCCTGTACTAAATACATAAAAAGAAAAGGAAAAGAAAGTTGTTTGTTTTTCATTTTTTTGAAACAGGGTCTCAGCAAGTGCAAGGGCCTGAGTTCAAACCCTGGTTCCACAAAAAAAAAAAAAAAAAAAAAGAAAGAAAGAAAATAAGGTCTCACTACATGGTTCAACTATGATCTAACAACCCTCTAGTCTCAACCTTCAGAGTGCTGGGATTGCAGGTATCCACTCCCACACTTCATCTAAAAGCTCAAATTTATTTATTTATTTATTTTTATTTTTATTTTTTTAAAATATTTATTTATTTTTATTTATTACATTTATTTATTGT